AAATAGCCTCAAAAAATAAAAATACATCTGTGTTGCTTCCAGTTTAGAGCCATTATTAATAAAGTTGCTATTAACATTTTTTGAGCAAAAAAATAAAAACAAAAAATAAAAGTAAACACATTAGTAGATAGAAAAGTAGTAACTCATGGCTTCAAGCTAGTATAACATGGTATATTCATCTAGTTTATGGTATTTTTATTACTTAGAAAACTAGGTAATTTCTTCAATTTGTGACTCAAATATCTTATAATCAGTGACAAAATTCTTGATCTATGGAAGACATCAACTGCACCCCTACCTCCCCAAAGAAAGGCACAGCTACTCACTGGTGAAACATTGGTTGATAACCCCTCCCATGGGCTTTGCTTCTAATTAGCTCTGGAGTTCCACTCTCTTAGATATGAACAAATAAATGTAACCAGACTTTAGATTTCAGTATCTAACATAAAATATAAATGCCACAACAAAAAGACACTAAAGTTCAAATTAAAAGATTAAGATTAAATTAAATTAATTAAAAAATTGAGATTAAAAAGGCAGTGTTAATGGTAATATGTGACCAAATTACACAGAAATTAATTCACAGCATATTCCTTTTTAACCGGATTCCCTACAGCATGGCCTATTTCAAAATGGAGTGACATGTTTAATCTATTATTTGAATCTAAACAAATACTGGAGAATGCTCAAGAATGTTGCTTTTAGGGGGCGCCTGGGTGGCTTAGTCGGTTAAGCATCCGACTTTCGCTTAGGTCATGATCTCGCGGTTCGTGGGTTCGAGCCCCGCGTCGGGCTCTGTGCTGACTGCCAGCTCAGAGCCCGGAGCCTGTTTCAGTCTGTGACTCCCTCTCTCTCTGACCCTCCCCTGCTCATGCCGTCTCTCCCTCTCTCTCCTAGAAATAAATAAAACATTTAAAAAAAAAAAAAAAAAGAATGTTGCTTTTAGAAATATTTTCTTTGAGATAAGCTAGCCAAAATTTCAGTTTTCCAGGCTAAGCTATCAAGTTGCTTAAAAGCTCGTGTTCCTAACTATATTTATCAGAACAAAGTTCATTTTCCAACAAAATGAAACTAGAGCTACCTTTTAATTCTCATTCTAATGACTTTGTTTTCCTTTCACTGTTGCCAGTTCTGTTTTTCAAGACCTTTTTTATTCTCCTGTCCTTCCAAGAAGCCTCTTGGATTGAGTTCTACCTTGCTGACCCACCAGTTCTTAAAATATAATGCAAATGTAAATCACTGTGAAAAGATGGCAGACGAACACATGTATATAATTTCACTAACTCTTAAAACATTGGTAAGACTACATAAAAGTTGTTTTTAAGACTCATATACTAAGTGTGAAAATCAATATTCAGCTAACACCAAGGCACGCCCCCCCACTCCCCATTTTTTTGGTTAGCATTTTGCCTTCTGCTACAGGATGTTCCAAGGTCACCTTACACTTTTATGTTACAATCCAAAGAGGTTTCATTTCTATTATTCTCCAGTTCCTTTAATATTCAATACTTACAATGATGACATGCAAAATTATAGACTAAAGTGAAAATACCCAAATAATTCTACCAAGGTCTGGCTACACTTTAGTGACTAGCTGATACCCCTACATGTTTCTAGCTCATCAACTGATTACAAAAATAAGTAACAGGACTGTATCTTTAATAGTCTTAAAAAATAACATGGGCGCCTGGCTGGTTCAGTCAGTTAACGATCCAACTCTTAAATTCAGCTCAGGTCATGATGTCAGAGTCATGGGAAGGAGCCCCACATCAGACTCCATGCTCAGCGTGGCTTAAGATTCTCTCTCACTCTCTCTGCCTCTCCCCAACTTGCACACGCATGTTTTCTCTCTCTCTCTCTCTCTCTCTTTCTGTCTCAAATTAAAAAATTAAAAGAAATAATACCAAAGTTTTAAAATATTAAGTACCAAAAAATATCGTATATTGGTGCTAAGACCAAGACTTCAGGAAAGCATCCTTACAATGCAGAGGAGACGATTATGTGTTTGTTACTGAGGTTATTTATTTGTTTTATAAACTCTTGACTCAGTTATCCTGTGCAAGTAGAAGGGAATGTTCTAGAATGTGAGTTATTCCATTATATGATAGCTCTGTGTCTTCAGGAAGGTCACTTAGCTATTCTAAGGCCTCAGTTCTTTCTCTAAAAACAGGAATAATAGTGCTTATCTCATAGGGTTGCTATAAGATACTCTTGTAGGCAGTCCTGGCACATTATGAGAGCACACTAATACCCAATATTTCACTATGGTCCTGGGCAGAGTTTAGCTACATGACCTTTCATATATAACAGGGAGCTTAGAAGGTTCATAGGGCATACGAAGCATTTTCTCTTAACTGAGCAAGTCAATAATGTTAATAAAACATTATTTAATGCCATGCATTTATCTCCTTTCCAAGCATCTGCTTTACTCAGGAAGCCTTAGGGAACTTACAGTTGAGGGTGGGGGGGGGGGGGGGGGGGGGGGGGGGGGGGGGGGGGGGGGGGGCAGCAGCGGGATGAGGAAAAGGGGAGGAGAGAGTACTCCCATCACCAACACAGCTGTTCAGCTTTAGACATGCAAAAAGTTTCCCCTAGTTCGTAGATGGATTCATTTGCTATAGCATCTTTAAAAAAACACAAACAAAAACCCAACTTCATAAACTAAAGGTTCTGCAATTAGTCATACCCTCTGAAGGTTTAGTTAATTTTGGACTAACATTAAATGGGTAGATGGTTCATTGACGTGAACCACACTATGTGATTTTAATCAACATAATTTGGTGGCACAATGGTGAACCCCAACAAATGTTACAGTGAGAAAACAATGGCCTTTTAGGCTTCTAAAAATAACTCAGAACCCTGTTAGTGGCAATATTTTTTTTAAATATTTAACTTTTCTGGATGAGGATTTAGCATATGAAGATAAGGCTTTGAAAGAATGCATTTTTTTTCTGAACAGTTTAATTACAATCCTAAAATCTGCCCCAAAGAAATAAAAGAATGCAAAACTGTCTGTACAAAATTATTCATTATAACATTGTTTATAATAACAAAACATCAGAAGGAGCCTATATATCCAATAATAGACGACAGACTAAACTACAAGAGAGCTATGTAACAGAAAAGTACACAGCCAATAAAGATAATATAGGCCTATATTTGTCGATGTGGAAAGATGATGAGGGTATATCTTCAAATGGATATCACAGATTTTAAGAGACAATATATATTATTACCGTTCTTTTTTAGAATATACAGTATGTATCTACTCTGATATACCTAACTATGTATAAGAATAGATTCAAGTATAGAAGGATCTATACCAAAATATTAAGATATTACTATCTCTAGGTAGTTTTAAATTTTCTTCTTTATAATCTTTCCCTTTTCTTCAGTTTTTACAACAAGGCTGTATTACTTTTATAATCTCAAAAGGTATAAATACCAATCAACCAACCTTTGAACTATAACGAATCTCAATACCTGATTTGTCCCATGTCTTAAGCGCTGACGATAAATGCCAGAATGCCCTGGAGTAAAATGAGGCAAGTATACTACTTCTCAGGATAAATGAGAGCCTATTATTTGCAAATTAGCCAACCCAGAGAACATTCAGGGTATGCTATAAGGCATTACCACTTATCATATCCCTGAGATCCAGAAATTTATCAGATAGAGGGAAAACAAAATTCCTGGTACAAATTCTCCTTCACAGAAAGAAACAGCATAGGTAATATATATACTTAGTAGTAGGAAAAAACTTACTGCCGTGGATAATCTGGATGCCAACGTCATTTCCAAGTTCCCTTTGAGACCAAGAAGTGCAGGAACTAAAATGAAAACTTCTGTCACCTTTTTGAACACCTCCCAGTGCTGTAAGAAAAAAAACATAACAATTTTCTGACACTCGTTCAAAAACACTTTAAAAAAGGACATTTCTAAAAATCTCAGCCATCTTTTCCAATGTTGCATCCACATTTTGAACAACACAAGTCATTTAGTCAGTGAACATTTAGCTTAACCCAATTCTCCAGAGCTCTGGAGCCTTGAGTTGCTTTAGAAGATTCATTTACATTGGGAGCGATAGCTGATGCGATCGTTACAACCCCAAATAACCTCTAGCTTGTTACACAAGTCTGATGCCCTTAAATTTTACTTTATCCATTAATGAAGATAAGAGTCAGTGTAGCTAGTAGTTAAGAGCATAGACTCAAGAACCAGAACATCTGGATTTGAATCTTGGTTCCACACTAATTACAACTCCACAGGAAGATTACAGTAATATATTATCCAGTTTCACAGATGAAGAAATAAAGATTCAGAAAAGTTCAATTATTTTACCAAGGCCAGAAGACAAGACCAACAATGGACATCAAGAATTCTGAGTCATCCCATGTTGTGGTACCCATTATAGGGTGTGAGGCAAGAGGCTGCAGAGCATAGGATCATTTAAAAAGCACTAAGTTGGAAATTAGAAAATTTGTCGTTCTAGACATGGATCTGCCATAATCTAGCCACACAATCTTGGATGAGTCATGTGTCTTCTGGATTTCAATGTCTACTCTGCCCTCTCTAGCCCTTGCGGAAAGTAACATATTGAAGTGGTTTATAAAGTGAAAAAAAAAACCCACACAAATCCCTTAAGAGCTCAATCTGCTATTTTACTAACATTATTAAGAGGTGATTGTTGCATCAAGGGACTTTATGGACTAACATATTGATGTATGCACCCCCAAAAATCAAGAACACAATTTTGTCATTAATACCAAGACAGGACAGGTGAGAGAAGTAAAACTTAAATCCACCAGATAAATGAAAGAAAAATCCAGTTTGTCCCCAAAGTTACCCTAGAGTTTGTTCCAAATAGGTGTAGAACTAGGGCCTTAATTAAGAGTTGAAGAAATGTTTATCAGATCAGTCTCTGGTAAAATCCTGGTTCAAAGGAAATGCAAGGGAATCCCTCCAGGGTTCAAGCCAGTTAAGGATGAGCCTAAAAAAAGCTCTGAGGGCCCAGCTGCATCCCAGATTTCTTAACCTGCCAAAAACTTCACAATCTTGTCCATGTTTTACAGTGGATTAAAAATTATGCTGTGCTAGTGGGATATGCCTCCTTCCAAGGTGATAGTGATAATGACAATGATGATGAATAACAACAGGTAATAACACTAGCAAAATATTAACAGTATTCAAGATTCATAGATGGCTTACGTGCCAGGTACCGTTCCTTAGCCTTACTCATTTAAGACATAACAAACCTGTGCGATAGGTACATTCTTAACAAATCAGACAATTCAGGAATACATTTTACCTAGGTCATAATTTTAAGACACCTACCTATATGACTTAATTTTAGAAACACCAGAATACTATCCGAATTTCTCTATCAGTCTAGCTCCTACATGTCATCACACTGAATCTATTGGGATGTACTTCTTTTGGTTACTCTCACCCTTTCCAAGTTCAATTCAAATCAAATACTCCCATGAGAAATACTATAAAGGCACTAACACCTTAGCATGGATATAATAAAAATGGTCAATGATTGATTTCCTATCTCATGCCAAATAAGTTCTACATTCTTTTCCCTACACGTGCAGAGGCATGCTTCTGGAAGTTTCCAAATATTCTCAGTTTTCATGATACCCCAGGCCAAAAGAAATACCCAACAGCCTATTTATTAAGAAATTGGTCCAAACAACTTAGCAAATATTTATTTCCTAACAATTTAGTAGCCATTTGTAGTAATAACACAAATACATTGAAAAAAATATTATTTTATATCATATCACCATAATTACTTATTAATAGGGTGTGTGTACTTGTGGGTCACTGCACAACTTCTCAAACCTTCGAATTGGAAACTGCCACCTTCATTTCTTGTTCAGTATTGGTTTTTGTGTGACACTTGCTTTTTTTCACAGCACCACTGAAAATCTAGTCATCAAGAGAAATGTTGTGTGATATAATGTTGAAATAATGAACCACCTTGAGTCTGTAGAGTGTCCAAGAGATGCCACCATGTTTCCTCCAGAATTTTCTAAAACTCCCACAGCAACACTGGAGTGTCCAGAGACAGCATTTGGGGTATATGAGGTTAGTGAGAAGTAGTACAGTACTTAGTCAAAGGGAAGGGCTTCAGGGTCAGATACCTGGGGGGAAATTCTGAGTCTACTACTTGTACTATGTGACTTGGACAAAATTATGCTTTACTTTCTTCATCTAAAACAGGACATAATTGAACCTACCTCATCTGTTTGTGCTTAGGACTGTACCTGTACATAGTAATGGATAGGAATATTGAAGGTTTATTAGCTATATAACACCAAGATATATTATTACCAGTTAATTTCCTGGCAGGCGGTAATGAGAAAAAAAAAAAAAAAAAAAAGTCCAGAAAGGGGATGCTGAGGCGACTAGTGCAAAAAAAATAAATTTCACCTACTTAAAAAATTTTGCCATGATAAAAACATGTCCTCTGAGGCTATGTATATTATTATGAATCCCTAAACTTCTCCACAAGAACTTGCCCTAAAGGAAATCAACTTCTGATCTCACCTAATTTTGGACTTCTTTCAATATCCAGAACCTTGGTGAAGTACTCACACATCGAATGCAATGTCAGAATGCTTGTACATATTCATTAGATTCAAAACCTAAAAATCTTTTAATAGCCAAGAGGAAAAACAAAAATGAAACTTTAAAAAAATAATAATAATTAAATAAGTTGAGGAACAGATCCATAGACTCCTAACTTTTTTATTTATTTATTTCTAGGAGAGAGAGAGAGAGACAGCGTGAGCAGGGGACGGTCAGAGAGAGAGGGAGACACAGACTCCGAAACAGGCTCCAGGCTCTGAGCTGGCAGTCAGCACAGAGCCCGACGCGGGGCCCAAACCCACGAACCGCGAGATCATGACCTAAGAGAAAGTCGGACGCTTAACCGACTAAGCCACCCAGGCGCCCCAATAGACTCCTAACTTTAAAATAAACAGCAAGGGGCGCCTGGATGGCTCAGTCAGCTGGGCATCCGACTTTGACTCGTCATGATCTTGAAGCTCGTGAGTTTGAGCCCCGTGTTGGGCTCTGTGCTGACAACTCAGAGCCTGGATCCTTCTTTGGATTTTGTGTCTCCCCCTCTCTCTGCCTTCCCTACTCAAACTCTCTCTCTCTCTCCTTCAAATATAAACAAATATCATTAAAATTTTTTTTCTTTAAATAAAATAAACAGCAAAAGTTTAGGGGTTCCTGGGTGGTTCAGTCGGTTAAGCACAACTTCAGCTCAGGTTACAATCTTACCATTCCTGAGTTTGAGCCCTACATCAGGCTCTCTGTTGTCAGTGCAGAGCCTGCTTTGGATTCTCTCTCTCTCTCTGCCTTCCCTCTCTCTCTGCCCCTCCTCCCCAAAAATAAATAAACATTAAAATAAAGAAATAAATAAAATACACAGCAAAAGTTTTAAAAAGTCTAATTGGGGGGGTGCCTGGGTGGCTTAGTCGGTTAAGCATCCGACTTTCGCTTAGGTCATGATCTCGCGGTTCGTGGGTTCGAGCCCCACGTCGGGCTCTGTGCTGACTGCCAGCTCAGAGCCTGGAGCCTGTTTCAGAGTCTGTATCTCCCTCTCTCTCTGACCCTCCCCTGCTCACGCTGTCTCTCTCTCTCTCTCTCCTAGAAATAAATAAAAATATTTAAAAATTTTGAAAAAAAAAGTCTAATTGGTAAAAGAAGTTTATGCAATTTTATGAAACATATATACTCCAAATGTGGAGAAGTTTGTTTCTTATTTTGATATAGTTTAAAAAAGTAAACCTATTCAAGGGCAACTGGGTGGCTCAGTTGGTTGAGTGTCCAACTTCAGCTCAGGTCATGAATCACGGTTAGTGAGTTCAAGCCCCACATCAGGCTCACTGCTATCAGTGCAGAGCCTGCTTCAAATCCTCTGTCCCCCTCCTCTCTGCTCCTCTCCCTCTCAAAAATTAAATAAAAACATAAAAAAATTTAAACCCATTCACTTTCAGACATACGACAAAATTGTCAATCTCATACATAATCAGATAAATGCAAATTAAAATGTGATAAATTTTCATCTGTGAGATTTGTAAAGATCAAAAACCTGGATAGTACTCTACTGGAAAGAGTATAAGGAAGTAGGCACTCTATGACACATTTGGTGAGAATGTTAAGGTTTAACTTCTTTGGGGGAATTTGGCAACTTAAATATACATATATAAAATGCACATAATTTTCAACTGAAAACCTCTATGTCAAGGAATTTACCCTACAAATAAACGTGAACATGAGTTTAAATACATATAAATAATGACTTTACTTAGTTCATCACTATTCATAATAGCAAAAAATTTGAGGCAATTTAAATCCCCTTCATTAGGTAACAGTAGAAAAATAATAAAAAATGATACATCCTTGCAACAGAGCATCACATAGCTGGAGAAGAATTTGGTAAATATGTGTAAACCTATATAAGAGCTCCAAGATAAATTAAGAAAAGCAAGGTGAATAGAAGTATTGTTTGTGTCTCTAGCAAATACACACATGCACACATGTGCGCACATGTGATGTCTATTGAAGGAGACACAGAACAAAAAGTAATGGTACTAAGGAAGGGAATAGGAGAGAGGCACATACAGGCAGGGACACACTACTTTCTCCATTATATATTCTTTCATGCAGTTTAAGTATGCTTTCTCAGATACATATAATTTCATTAAACTTTTCATTTTGAAATAATTATACATTAACATGCAGTTATAAAAAAAAATACAGAGAGATCTCACCCATGTATCCATTACCCGATTTCCCCCAATGGTAACATTTTGCAAAACAGTAGTGAGCAATATCATAACCAGGATATTAAC